TGGAGTTGTCAGCGTGGAGTCCCTCAGGGGAGGAGCAATGAAGCCTTTCAGAGGAGGCGGAGAGCAGGCCAGAGGATCAGGGGTGTGTGGTGGGTTAGGGAAAAGTGCAAGTGGCTCGGGTGAGGGGTGTTCTGGGGGAAGGGAAGGCTCTGGAGGTTGGGAGGCACTCATAGGGGAGACTGAGGTGGCCATTGGGCCTGGTGATGGGGTGGAGACCAGAGGCAAAGGATACTGGGTTTGAGGATCTGGGGAAGCTAATGGGAAAAGCAAGGGAGCGGCATCTTCCATTGGCTCCTGAGGGGACTGGGAGGCTCCATCAGGCTCTTTTTTGCACTCTCACCTGGGGGGTCTGGACCAGAGAGCTCACCAAAGTCACGTTTCTTAGGATGCAGCTCCAGAATGCTGTAGGAGACAGGAGGCACAAGTTGCAGCCAGAAGCAGGTAGGGCCATAGAACAGAGTGGACGTGGGCCCCGGCCCCTCCACCACCCCACACCCCAGACCCCCAATTCTCCTCCTATGCCCCTCCACTGCCCCATACCCAGACCCCCCAAATCTCCTATGCCCCTCCACTGCCCCACACCCTGACCCCCCAATTCTCCTCCTATACCCCTCCACCGCCCCACCCACAGCCAGACTCCCCAGTTCTCCTCCTATACCCCTCCACCATTCCACACCCAGACTCCCCAGTTCTCCTCCTTGCCCTTCCACCACCCCACATGCTGACTGCCCAATTCTCCTCCTATGCGTTTCCACTGCCCCACACCCAGACTCCCCAATTCTCCTATGCCCCTCCACCACGCTGCACCCAGACTCCCCTGTTCTTCTCCTACTTCTTGGTCCAGGGTTTTGCTCCCATCCTCTGTCCCCCTGGTCTCCCTATCCTGGGTCATCTCCAGGCTGCAGTAAAGCCGTGAGATCGAATCCCAGCCTGGTAGGAAGGATGCAGGGAAGGGGCATTGCCTCACCACTGCAGTCATGAAAACAAGTCCCAAGTCCCCTCCAGGCCTGTCAGGCAGTTTCTAGAAGCTGGAAATCAGGAGACCGGGTTAGGGCAGTGAGGGAGGTTAGGGCAGCTTCCTCACAGGAGGCTGAGTGGATGTTTCTTTAGGGAAGACTATGGGGAGTCAGACCCTGGAAACCACATGTCTGTGTCCAAGGACACATGGCCTGGACAGTGATAGCGAGGCACCAAGGGCAAGGCTTTGTTGTCCACAAAGGGCTTCCACACACAGACCCCCCATCCCCATAGTTCTCACAGCTGCCCTTTGGGGAGAAAAGACTGGGGTGGTCTCAAAAAGGAATCAGCCTTAGCAGAGTTGAACAGCTGTCCACAGCCCCCTCACCCCCCTCCTGATTCAGACAGGCATTGGTATCCTCCTCCTACATCGTGCCCTGCTGGGAACACTCAGTCTTTGGCCCACCATGGTTTCACACCAGCATGGAATCCGAGAGGGACCCAGGGTTCTGATTTCCTTCCTAGGAGCCCCCACCTCAGGCTTCTTCAATTGACTTCCTCAGACAGAGTCGCTTCTTTCCGGGGACAGACGAGATCAAATGAACTCTAGTGTGCCCCGGCAGAGCCTTACCTTTCAGACTGTTGTTTTTCTTCCTGCCTTTGGGCCTCCCCCTATGCTGACCTCAACACTGGGAGATAAGTTGACACTGGGACAGAAGATGACCCTAGGAGAGAAGATGACCCTGGGAGACAAGAAAGGGTGAGGGGCTGAGACTAGCTCTCGGTCTCAGCCCCCAGTCCAGCTGCGGCGCTCACGAACCGCACAGCTGTCTCCTCTTGCTCAGGGAGCGGTGTGCTTCCTCCCACTCATGTTTAAGTGGAGATAAACTGCTTTTCTTCTTAGAAAAACACGAAAAGGGGGCCAGACATAGTTGCTCACACCTGTAATCCAAGCATTTGGGGAAGCCAAGAAGGGTGGATCACCTGAGATCAGAAGTTTGAGACAAGTCTCGCCAGCATAGTGGAACCCTGTCTCTACTAAAAATAACAAAAATTAGCCGGTCGTGGTGGCGTGTGCTTGTAATCTCAGCTACTCCGGAGGCTGAGGCAGGAGAACTGCTTGAACCTGGGAAGCAGAGACTGCAGTGAGCCGAGATCGCCATTGCACTCCAGCCAGGGCGACAAGAGTGAGACTCCATCTCAAAAAACAAACAAACAAGAAAACCCACCACAGAGGGATTTGCTATATGAGGAAATATATATATTTCATATATAAACTATAATATACATAATGTATAATATATAATGTATAATGTAATATAAGTAATGGTAGAGGTGCTCCTCTCCGCAACAAACACCCAGGCTCAGGCCTGCGGGCACACCTGAGCTGTCAGGTAGGATTCTGCTTCCCAGGAGATCAGAGGAGACTCCAGGCCCAGGTGGGAGGCCCTCAGAGGCTTAGCACAGCCCCCATATCACCCCACACAGATGAAGCTGGGCCCCCCCAGCCACCTGTCCCAGGAAGGGGCTTATGAGCATCCTCCCACAGAGACCTCCCACAGAGACCTCCCCTATGTCCTAACTGGTCCTCACCACTGAGACCAGGGGTTTGGTTTTGCCCTGACACCTCCTGTGCTCCCCCACAGATGGACTGAGAGCTTGGGATGGAAATCCCAGTCCCTACCAACCCCTGGCTGCTCTGCCTTTCCCCGGAAGGACCATGTTCTTGTCTCTCCTGACACGTCGCATTGAGGAAAATTACTGGATTTGGAAAAGTAGAGCTAATAATAGAAAGAAAGGAGAGAATTGTGCTGTGTGGGTCTGGCCTGAGGGCTCCTTACCATACTCTTCTTCCCTGGCGATGGTGAGGGTGGATCACAAAGGAAGTAAGAGAGGTAGGGGAGTAATAGGAAATATAACCCCATGTCAAATACCAGGGTGAGGAAGATATCCAACACCCATGGTGTGGAGCTGAGGTTTTTTCCACTAATCACTATACAATTTAAGAGGAAACGGAATATTCACCATTTGAATAGGTATGCTGCCTTCAAGCAACTGAGCTCTCGGCATTCCCTTGGAGACTAGGGAGTGGGGCCCAGGCCTGTGTCACAGAGCTGGGGCCTTCACATCACAAAGGGCCCCTGATGGGGGAGGGGCAGTGAGGGGGGAGGCTGAAGGACAGCCCCTCCCCACCCCACAAGCCCGGGATCCCTCCACCCTCCCAACTTCCAGATTCTGCCTTTCCACTAAGTTTTGTCAGTGACAGAACTCAGCCAATTTTCTGTTCTTTCTCCCTGGAACACAGATATTATCTGGTTCCTTTTATCTGTTGGAGATGGTGGTATGAGGTTATCTATTTTAAATCCTTGAAAATCTGAAGTTGACTCTGAAACTTTGACTATGTACCAGGGATTTTTATTCTCAGAATCTCATTCGTCCTCAACTCCACATTCCCCACAAAATGTTTTTGTCTTATATTGTTGTATCGGATGGAGCACACCAAGACAAAAGTATGCCAAATTGCAGGGTTTATTGCCGGCAACCACGGAGGACTCATGTCTCTCCAACCCATGGCAGAGAAAGAAGAGTGACAAGACCTTTTTATACCCACAAAACCACCTTGGGAGTGGGGTGAAGAGTGGAGATGGGAATGAAATTCTATAAATCACCTCCTGGGCAGCGAGGAGGGTGAGGGGGCTCTGGACCTTCCAAAGGCCAGGGGACTTTTGTCATTCCGATTGCCACTTAAGAGGTTTACAGAAGTTAAGATAACCATTTGCTTACACATCGTCTGGGTAGGGGTTACTTGGCACCCGAATGGAATTATCCGGGGGTGCTTACTCTGGCCATTACTGGTGATCAATGGCCAGCAATTCTGGCAGTTACAGATAAGAGAAAGTATGCAGCTTTACCTTTTGGCATTTTAGCAGTTTTACTGAGGCCGAGGTTAGCATTTATCGTGAGGAGAATGGAAACAGTTTTTTCTTTTATAAAATGGCAGTGTACAGGTTCTAACTCTAGGCTAGCTATATCAAAATATCAATCCAGGGACAAAATGTAATTTTGTTATACTCTTACTTAATTTTATAATTTTTTAATAGTAAGTTTTTTAAAAAATTATTTCCATTTCACTTTCAATCAAAGGGACCTACCCACATACAATTAAGATAATTTTTTAAATTTTTTTAAATTTTACTTGTGTGTTTATTTTCTTTATAGTTCTGGGGTACATGTGCAGCAGGCTGTTTTCTTACACAGGTAAGTTTGCTGCAATCACATAGCATGTAGTTTGCTGCATCTATCACCCCGTCACCTAGGTATTAAACTCAGCATGCATTAGCCATTTTTCCTGATGCTCTCCCTACTACCGGCCCTCCCCCAACAGGTGCCAGTGTGTGTTGTTCTCCTGCCTGTGTCCACGTGGTCCCGTTGTTCAGCTCCCACTTATTAGTGAGAACATGTAGTATTTGCTTTTCTGTCCCTGTGTTAGTTTGCTGAGGATAATGGCTTCCAGCTTCATCTACGCGTCTGAAAAAGACATGATCTAATTCATTTTTATGGCTGCATGGTGCTCCATGGTGTATATATACCACATTTTCTTTATCGAGTCTACCATTTATGAGCATTTGGGTTGATTCCATGTCTTTGCTGTTGTGAGCAGTGCTGTAATGAATATACACGTGCATGTATTTCTGTAATAGAATATTTACATTTTTTTGAATATATAATAATTTAAATACCATTATATATAGTGTAATATATAATATATATTATAGCTGGTATATTCTAGCTAATGCATATATAATATATAATATATTTGGGTTGGATTTGCATTTCTCTAATCATCAGTGATGTTGAGCTTTTAAAAATATATTTGTATGTATATTTAAAACATAACATGTAATATATGTGTATATATAGAATATATACATATATAATATACTTCATATATGTATATATGTAGCGTATATATATATGTATATACTATATACTTTATATTTATATTTTTTTATTTGCATTTCTCTAATGACCAGTGATGATGATCATTTTTTCATGTGTTTATTGGCCTCATATATGTCTTCTTTTGAAACGTGTCTGTTCATATCCTTCACCCACTTTTGAATGGGTTCGGGGTTTTTTTTGTAAATCTGTTTCAGTTCTTTATAGATTCTGGATATTACCCTTTGTAAGATGGGTAGACTGCAAAAATATTTTCCCATTCTTTTGGTTGCCAGTTCGCTCTAACGATTGGTTTTCTGCTGTACAGAAGCTCTGGAGTTTAATTAGAGCCCATTTGTCTATTTTGGCCTTTGTTACCAATGCTTTTGGTGTTTTAGTCATGAAGTCATTGCCTAGATGCATGGATATTTTCTATGTATACATATGTATTTTATGTATATATTTTCTATGTTCAATTTCCAGGCAGCTGAGGAAAATGCATTTCTGGTGGCTTTTTGCTAATGACTTTTAGCTTAGTTCCATATGGTCTGTAATATATTCTGAATGATTTTCTTATTAAAAGTTTTAAGCTTTTCTTTATAGCCCAGGAGATGGCCAATTTAGGGGAACACTTCAACTGCACTTGAAAAGATTGTGAATCCTGTCATTTGATGTTAGTGTTCTCCATATGTCTGTTTGACCTTTAGTCTTTACTGACTTTTTTTTACTTATATTTGCTATAGAGTTGTGCCAAATTTCTGTCTTTGCATTTTGTCTATTTTTTCTTTCACTTATGCCAATTTTGACATTATATATATTGAAGTTACATGATTGAATACATGGAGATTTGTGGTGTTCCTGTTGAGTTGATATCCTTATTATTACAAAATATTCCTACTTAAGGCAATAGTAATTAGTAGACATGAGTCTATTTTGTCTGATATTACTGTAGTTAAACCTGCTGGGTTTGGGTTAGTATTTATATACTGTGGCTTTTTCTATCCTTTGATTTTCAATCTTTCTCTATCCTTATATTTAAAGGGTGTCTTCTGTAAACAGCATATAGTTGAGTTTTGTTTTTAAGGATAGTCTGGCAATTTTAGCCTTTTGTTATATTATCCACTTTACATTAAATAAAATTATTTACATTGTTAGGGTTAGGTCTATTCTATTATTATGTGTTTTCTGTTTAGTGTATCTATGTTCTCCTTTGCCTCACTTTGGCTGAATTGCACATTTTTATCTTTCTGCTGTTTTTCTTCTATTAGTTTGTTATACATTCATTTATGCTTATTTCAGTGTTTATAGATTACAACATGCAATCTGATGTGGTATATCTTAGTAGAAATTTCTATTTTTACTATTTCTTAATAGTGACAGAACTTTGGAGTTCTTAAATTTCATTTGTCAGTTGCCTCCTATGCCCTCCCACCCCTTTGGTATTTCTTGATAATGAATTTTAATTCTACGTGTATTTAAACATACATATTTTTGGTCTGGTTAATACTCATTTGAATTTACCTACATACTTATTTATCTTTTATGTTTTTCCACATTTGTATGCTTCTAACTGGGATCATTTTCTTTCTGCCAGATAAACAGTTTGGATGTGCAAGTTGGATATGGGTTTGGATTAGCGGTTGATACAATAAACAAAACTTAACAGTAATAAATGATAATGGGACCTGTCTAGTGGGCAGTTTAGCAATTCTCTTGTCAAAATTTAAATTACACAGACCCTGCATTCTACTTATGGATATTTGTCATATAGATGCATTTGTGCATATAGAATACAATATAAAGTAAGTTGGAAATAACCTAATATTACAAGTAGGGATCACTTGTAAGATGGAATATTTAGTAGCCCAAATAAAAATTAAATAGCTTTTATGTACTAATATAAAATTATCTCCAAAACACATGTTAATAAAAAATAAGGCAAAAGGAGGCACTTGCCATATATTGTAATGAGGGAATAGGATCTTTCTACTGATCCTTTAGTGAAAGCAACTATAAATTATAGATAATATATTAAAATAATCTCTGAGAGACTTTAAACAGAATTAAAAACAAAAGTCTAGAAACTTGGATGTTCAAGCAATGCTTTGTGAAAGGTCAGAATTAAGACTTTCTGCAAAAGCATGGGAGCATGATGGTGTCACTTCTGTTGTAGCACAGCTCCTTGAGTTAGGGATGAAGCTGGGCTGTATCTGTAGTCTCTGGGGGTGATGGGGGTGGGGGCGCTGGAGGGAGCAGGGAGAAGACGTTGTTGTAGAGATCAGTTTGGCAAATCTGAGGAAAACCTGCCCTCCCCGACTTCTTTTTTCCATCTAGGTCTGCCATCTCAGAATAATCTCCCAGAAGAAAACAGATCATTCCTGGAATGCTAAAGGCTATGGCTCATGTGAGCTGGAATAGTCCTGTGTTTTATTGTTTAACCTGAAAATACCTATTGGATGTCTTTCAGGAACCTGCTCCCAGATCTGTCATTGTTGTGAGTGCTGGGTCACAGAGACTAGTACCTTCCCTAAACCCCCTTTTCCTTTGCAGCCTCTCTGGAATACCAAGTCAGACATCTTTTATTTGCCCAGTTTTCAGCCAAGAATGCAGATAGAGCACATTTCCTCAAGGGAAACAAGAAAGCCTTTATTTACAAAATCATTGCTTAATAAGGCTCAGACGAATTGCCACACAGGTATGCACATAAGAAAGCTTTGATCTCTTCCACTGAGTTTTTTAATTTGACATGATAGGATACCCAGATAATAACTTTTATCTGCAAAGACCTTGAGAAATCTGGGAAATTTTAAATGTCTAAAAATCTGAAGTATAATAATGGTTAATTCCATTATAACCATCAGGCATACCACTTATCGTGTATATATCAAGCAATAAAAAGCTTAATATTTATCTTGACAAAAAAAAAATGCTTGTGATCTCATATTCTGACATAAGGATGAAACTGAGTCCCCAGGAAATTATTATGTCATGTGCAAATTGTACTTTAAAGGTAGAAATATAATTTAAGACAAGATGGATGGAGGCCATGGGTTTGTAGTTTCTTTCCTTGAAACTGTATTTTTTTGCTGTTTCATCTGCTAGGGAAACCTCATTTCACTGTATTTGTTCACTCCCAGCCCTTCCATCTGGAAAGGCTTGTTTTGACAGTGATAGTGAGGGAGAGGTCCTTGCTCTGGTCCCCGCAACAGTCCTGCCTCTAGCCTCAGCCTATGTCTATCCTTTTCTTTTTTTTTTTCTTTTTTATTATTTTTTTAAGATGGGGGTTTCACCATGTTGGTCAGGCTGGTCTTGAACTCCTGACCTCAGGTGATCCTCCCACCTTGGCCTCCAAAGTGCTTGGATTACAGGCATGAGCCACCACGCTGGCCCATCTATCCCTTACTATAAGGCCTTTTTCCATCTGTCTCTCCATCATAAAAACTTGTCTTTTATTTCACTTGGTAATGTATATGTTGGCTTTTTTCAGGGGTTGATGGTATTCAAGGATGTGGCCATAGACTTCTTTTGGGAGGAATGGGACTTCTGGATGCTACTCAGAGGGACTTGTACAGATGTGTGACGATGGAGAACTACAGCAATCTGGCCTCAGTCAGTAAGGATACTAACTTGCAGATCATTCAGTATTCACCCTTCAGAAGTTCTGCCTTCATCCTTGTGGATTTGTGGGTTGTCTGAATTTCTACTTCCCAATACTGAAGGAAGTCTGTACTTGGTGGCTGTGGAAAAGGCATCTCTGTTGCACATATTCTTTAGAAGATTTGCACACTTCCCTCTTGTTATTCTGATGATCGTCTCTCTTCTTTTTGAGGCACGTTCTCGCTCTGTCACCCAGACTGGAGTGCAGCAGCATGATCTCAGCTCACTCACCACAGACTCTACCTCCCGGGCTCAAGTGATCCTCCCACCTCAGCCTCCCGAGTAGCTGGGACCAAGTGCTAATTTTTGTATTTTTTGTAGAGACAGGGTTACACCATGTTACCCAGGCTGTCCTCAAATTCCTGGGCTCAAGAAACCTTACCGCCTTGGCCTCCCAAAACCCTGGAATTTCTTACAGGCAGGAGCCACTGTGCCCAGCCAGCCTCTCTTCTTTGGTGACCAAAAGCTGGCTTTGAATTCAGCCACCCTCCAGATTGATCCTGTTCCATTTCTTCTTTTGCATGTAGGACTTTCCATTTTAAAGCCAGATGTGATCTCCTTATTGGAACAGGAAAACCAGCCTTGGCTGGTGAACAGGGGCATGACAGCAGGACCTTGCTTAGGTGAGCGGGAGCTTGGGAGCAGGGGGTAGGCTCGGCAGCCAGCTGGCCTTGCAGCAGCAGCATCTTGGGTATTCTTGCTGGGAGGTGCTACTCCAGGATGAGGCCTGAAGAGGGAGAGAAGGCCTGAGACCCAGGGAGAAAAGTAACCTCTCTCTCCCCTCTTAGTGAGGTAGGTAGGAATCCTCCTTCCCCATACTCATCTTTTTTACTTATGCATTAAGTCTAATTCTTTCCCTGCTTATCCTTGTCATTTAGACCTGTGTAAATATTGTCACTTATAAAATATTTTGGAAAAACATGAATTGAATACTTAATATTCAATAAATTATTCCCTTTAAAAAAATTTTTTTTCTTTATTCAGTAATTGATGATTTATTCATTTACTCTTTATCCAGAATGCATTGATGTTTAATTGTAATTTTTATTTTGTGAGTTGGAGTTCCACTCTTGTTGCCCAGGCTGCGTTGCAGTGCAACGGCGCGGTCTCAGCTCAGTGCAACCTCTGCCTCCCTGGTTCAAGTGATTCTCCTGCTTCAGCCTCCAAAATAGCTACGACTACAGGTGTGCGCCACCACTAATCTTCATGTTTTTAGTAGAGATGGGATTTCACCGTGCTGACCAGGCTGGTTGTGAGCTCTTGACCTCAGGTGATCTACCCACCTCAGCCTCCCAAAGTGCTGGGATTATAGGCACGAGCCACCGCACCCGGCAGATGTTTAATTTATTTAAGACTCACATAAGTCTTATGTAAATTTAGGGGAAATAAAGGGAATAAACTATTAAGAAATGTTCCATCTAATTAGAAAGCTAGAATAGATTCTTAAGCGGTTCTCATAAAGTAGACTATACCACAGAAGATGGTCCAGTAGCCTGCTTAGATGAAAGTCAAGACTCAAGATATGAATGTGGAAGAAATTCAGAAAGAGATTTTTTTCTGCATTGAGGTGGAAGGAGCATCAGTGGGGAGATTGGGGGGTGCACTATGAGGTTGACCTCAGGGAAGAGAGAGCGTGGCCAGCAAGAAGCAGCACCCTTTATAGGTAGTCATTGGTGAGTTTTCTCTTTTGAGCGAAGTCAGATGGAAATGCCATTCAACGAAGAATGCTTTTTTCTTTGAAATTTGACAAAGATGATTCATTGCATGTTTTTTGTAAAGAAAGAGTTTCTAAGTTCCAGAAATAACATTCATGTTTTAATAACATTGTTCTAAACATTGAATTTATAGTTTTTAATCTTCTTTCATAGAATACTACCATATGTATTTTATTTTCATGTAGCCCCTTAAGATTGCTTTGTAATTTCTTGTTAATAAAGTTTTACTGTGATATGCACACATCTTTTATTTGTGTGGATCTTTGCATATTATTTTACAATCTTAGGTTGGATTTGCCAAGAAATAGATGGAGAAATAAACGGAGATTTGCATCCAGGAAGTTTAGTGGGTGGTGCTGCTAGTGTCCAACCCGTAGAGGAGTGAGGGAGGACAGTTTGAACCGCCTGCAGTTACAGCAGAGGCTCTAGCTGATTATGCAAGGAGTTCCAGAGCTGAGATAGCTCTTTAATGCCTCAAAATAAGGGAGGGGAGTCAGGCCTTTGTACCTCACCCTGAGCAGCCATTGGAGGCAGCTACTCCTGGGAGGGGTGTAACCTCAAGTGAGGTAGCTGCTTATGTCAAGGACAAGGCCTGGATGCAAACTCAGCTATGAGTTGTTGGCTGTCAACACCCAAGACAGCTGGGGAATGCCCGGCTTGGGCCGAAAAAGCTTTGCTTTAAGATACTGGGCTCCTGGGTCCAAGGGTTAAAAAGCTCTTTCAACCTTTGTTCTTAACAATGAGTTAAGTGCCTTCTGCACATGTCAAACCAGTAGTTTGTCAGTTCACTGAAGTCATTTGAAGCCAGGTGTGGTGGCAGGCAACTATAGTCCCACCTATTTGGGAAGCTGAGGTGGGACAATTGCAGAGCGTCCGCCCCAGCCTCAGTACCCCTCCTGATGCAGTCCTCATCTCACTCTTAGACCCCGGAAGTCTCCCTTCAGCCAACATCTGGCCCCCAACTCCCAGGGCACTTCCCAGACAGCCAGTGCCACATCTCAGGCAGCCCCTGCTCGGCCCTTGGGGTCTGTGCCTGGCAGAGGGCGGCTGACCCTCAGCCCCTCTGGGCCAAGGTAGACATGAAGACTCTTCACTTTTATCAGGAGAAGCCAGGAACGATAGAAACCTGCAAATGAGCAGAAAGGATCTGATGATTAAACTTTCTTCTGAAGCTATTAGAAATTCAAGTCGGTGAGTTACTTCGCTCCTAGTTTTTTATTGCCAACTCTAATTCTTCACTGTGTTGCAGAATGGGGTCCGGGAGAGCATGGAATTACTCCCTTACTATCTGCTACGTTGTCTACTGAAATTGGTCAAAGCTGTAACAAAAACATTTCTGGAAGTCATTTGAATGCAGTAGGAAGAACTGTGGGCATGGAGTCAGAACAAAGCATCTTTTGGAGCGCTTTTTCCGGTCTAAAATTCTTTGCCAGAAATGTTCTTTAATGAAACCTCCAGACTGGGTAGGAAAACAGGGCATAGTATTTTTTTTTTAAAGGCATGAGCAGGAATGAAATAAATGCAGTCCGAAGGGGGAATGCAAGACATATGCAATCTGAAGAAACTTTGATTTAAGGTAAACCCTCCAAAGGTAAATCTTTCAGCAAGGCTATTAGCTAAGTGCATGGACTGCAGATTTGTATTACTGAAAATTAGGAGCGGTGGTTTGGGAGGTGCTGGTTTCTCAGAGGGATGGTCACGGAAGTTCCAATGAGGCGTCGCCTGGCCTCAGGAAGCGCCCAGATTCCGCGTCTCTCCATTTGTGCAGCTCCTGCGGGGCCCTCCCAGGGCGGACTCCAGGTCAGCCCCGCGCACAGGCGTATCAGCCTCGAGGCGGGCGGGGTTCCAGCACGTCCTCAACGGCTCCGTGTCCGCTGCAGGTGTTTGGGGCAGGGAGACGCGCAGCGCGGGCGGAAATGTCCGTTACCCAACGGCCTTTGCTCTCATGGCCTCCTACGTGGTGTTACCTAAAAATAAAGCTATGTATGATTACAAGGTAATCACCTCCTGGTCATGCCCACGCTGGTCATCAGTGTCCGCTGGACGACCCCACCCTTGTGGCCACAGCGGGCCTATGCTGGGCTTAAGGCGGGAGCGTGCCCAGCAGGGACCCTGCAGAACTCCCAGACCGCGCTTCTTTCCCTTGCTGGCCTGGCCCTGAAACGAAGGAGTTTTTTTTTTTTCTTTTTTTTTCTGAGACGGAGTTTCGCTCTTGTTACCCAGGCTGGAGTGCAATGGCGCGATTTCGGCTCACCGCAACCTGAGGGAGGAGGTTTAACAATGCAGTGGGAACCGCAATATGTCTCCTTCGTGCCTCTCACTTTTTTTTTTTTTTTTTTTTTTTTTTTGAGACAGAGTTTCTCTCTTTTGTCTTGGGTAATCTAGCTAAAGATTTGTTGGTTTTGCTGTTACTGGTTTTTTTGTTGTTGTTTTTTTGTTTTTGTTTTTGTTTTTTTTGAGACAAAGTCTTGCTCTGTTGCCCAGGTTGGAGTGCAGCGGTGCAAGCTTGGTACACTGCAATCTCCACCTCCCGGATTCAAGCAGTTCAGCCTCCTGAGTAGCTGAGACTACAGGTTCATGCCATGATGCCCGGCTAATTTTGGTATTTTTAGTAAAGACAAGGTTTTACCATATTGGTCAGGCTGCCTGTGCTCCTGATCTCAGGTGATCTGCCTGCCGTGGCCTCCTAAAGTGCTGGGATTACAGGTGTGAGCCACTGCGTCCAGGCTTTGTTGTTTGTTTCAGAGAAAGAATGGTTTTATTGATTTCCTTTTTTAAAAAAAATTTCTATTTTTTACCTCTTAGGAAGCATTAGTGGTCTCAGGCCAATTACTGTGGGGCAGCTTTCATTCCTACCCAGTTGCAAACCTTGGCGCTGTTGTCCGAGGTTGCTGCAGCCATTCTTGCGTTACCATGGTACTTCTCCAGCTTTATGAAAACCTGCACTTACTTTTCGTTGCATGACAGGTCCCTGTCTTGTCCATCATGGGAACAGTTCCGCCAATTTACATGAGACTGTGGTATAAAGAGAGTAAAATGATTTAAAAATAAGTCGTTCCTTTTTTATTAATTTACTATTAAGTCATGTTCTCATGCTCAGATCAGATAGAGCTTTCCCTGCAGACATGTAGGAAGTGGGTAGCCATTTTTCCCCCTCCATATATCAGAGTTTTACAAAAAAGCTTACTTTGAGACAACTGTTGCATTTTGGGGTACTAATAAGTGATTGCCGATGAGTTAGGGTTTTGTTTTGTTTTTTAACTTTTATTGTTACTTTTCTCTGCTAGCTTTGGGTTTAGTTTGTTTTTTTCAGTTTATTAAGATGTAAATGTTCAACATTAATTTGAGATTGTCTTTTCTAATGGAAGTGTTTATAGTTATTCCTTTCTCCTGGAACTGCTTTTGCTGGCTCCCATAAATTTTGGTATATTACATTTTCATTTTCTTTTTTTTTTTATTTTTTATTGCGTTTTAGGTTTTGGGGTACATGTGCAGAACATGTAAGATAGTTGCATAGGTACACACATGGCAGTGTGTTTTTCTGCCTTCTACCCCTCCACCCACATTTGGCATTTCTCCCCATGCTATCCTTCCCCAGCTCCCCACCCCCGCTGTCCCTCCCCTATTCCCCCCAATAGACCCTAGTGTGTAGTACTCCCTTCCCTGTGTCCATGTGTTCTCATTGTTCATCACCCGCCTATGAGTGAGAATATGCGGTGTTTCATTTTCTGTTCTTGTGTCAGTTTGCCGAGAATGATATTCTCCAGATTCATCCATGTCCCTACAAAGGACACGAACTCATCATTTTTGATTGCTGCATAATATTCCATGGTGTATATGTGCCACATTTTCCCAGTCCAGTCTATCATCGATGGGCATTTGGGTTGATTCCAGGTCTTTGCTATTGTAAACAGTGCTGCAATGAACATTAGTGTGCATGTGTCCTTATAGTAGAATGATTTATAGTCCTTTGGATATATGCCCAGTAATGGGATTGCTGGGTCAAATGGAATTTCTATTTCTAGGTCCTTGAGGACTCGCCACACTGTCTTCCACAATGGTTGAACTAATTTACACTCCCACCAACAGTGTAAAAGTGTTCCTATTTCTCCACATCCAGATTGTTGTCTCCAGATTTTTTAATGATCGCCATTCTAACTGGCCTGAGATGGTATCTCAATGTGGTTTTGATTTGCATCTCTCTAATGACCAGTGATGATGAGTATTTTTTCATATGTTTGTTGTCCTCATGTATGTCTTCTTTTGTAAAGTGTCTGTTCATATCCTTTGACCATTTTTGGATGGGCTTGTTTTTTTCTTGTAAATCTATTTGAGTTCTTTGTAAATTTGTCAGATGGGTAAACTGCAAAAGTTTTTTCCCATTCTGTTGGTGGCCGATTCACTCTAATGACTGTTTCTTTTGCTGTGCAGAAGCTGTGGAGTTTGATTAAGTCCCATTTGTCTATTTTGGCTTTTGTTGCCAATGCTTTTGGTGTTTTGGTCATAAAGTCCTTGCCTACTCCTATGTCCTGAATGGTTTTGCCTAGATTTTCTTCTAGGGTTTTTATGGTGCCAGGTCTTATGTTTAAATCTTTAATCCATCTGGAGTTAATTTTAGTGTAAGGTGTCAGGAAGGGGTCCAGTTTCTGCTTTCTGCACATGGCTAGCCAGTTTTCCCAACACCATTTATTAAACAGGGAGTCCTTTCCCCGTTGCTTGTTTTTGTCAGGCTTATCAAAGATTGTATGGTTGTAGGTATGCTGTGTTGCCTCCAATGCTTGTGTTCTATTCCATTGGTCTATATCTTTGTTTTGGTACCAATACCATGCTGTTTTGATTACTGTAGCCTTGTAGTATAGTTTGAAGTCTGGTAGTGTGATGCCTCCCGCTGTGTTCTTTTTGCTTAGGATTGACTTGGCTATGCGGGCTCTCTTTTGGTTCCATATGAAGTTCAAGATGGTTTTTTCCAGTTCTGTGAAGAAAGTCAATGGTAGCTTGATGGGGATACTGTTGATTCTGTAAATTACTTTGGGCAGTATAGCCATTTTCACAATATTGATTCTTCCTAACCATGAACATGGAATATTTCTCCATCTGTTTGTGTCCTCTCTTATTTCATTGAGCAGTGATTTGTAGTTTTCCTTGAAGAGGTCCCTTATGTTCCTTGTAAGTTGTATTCCTAGGTATTTTATTCTCTTTGTAGCAATTGCGAATGGCAGTTCGTTCCTGATTTGGCTCT